TTAGCTCAGGGCCAATCTTCCTCAAGAAAAAAGGGGAGGATTGGCATCAGATGCTAGCTCAGGGCTAGTCCTCCTCACAAAGAACAAATAAATGCATATATTAAGGTTTACCCTTTGTTCTCTAAAGTTCAATGGATTTTGACAAATGCGTAATGTCATGTATCCATTATTGTAATATCATAAAGAATAGTTTCATTGCCCTATAAATCCCCTGTGCTTCGCCTATGCAACCTTTGCTCTGTCTTCCTGAACTCCTGGCAACCACTGAGCAGGTCGATGTCTCTATAGTTTGGCCTTTCCAGAGTGTCGTATAAATGGAATTAGAGTATGTTTCCTTTTCAGACTGGCTTCTTTTACTTAGTGATATACATTTGAGGTTTCTCCGTGTCTTTTAGCAGCTGGATAGTTCATTTCTTTTTATTGCTAAATAATATTTCATTGTATAGATGTACCACAGGATTTTTTTTTAGTCCATTCACTTATTGAAGAGCATCTTGGTATCTTGGTCACTTCCAGTTTTTAGCAATTAATAAAGCTGCTATAAACATTTGCATGCAGGTGTTTTTGTAAACATAAATATTAAAATTAGTTGAGTAAATGCCTAGTAGTGCAATTCCTGAATCATATATTAAACATATACTATGTTTAGCTTTGTAAGAAAATATCAAACACTCTTTTGAATTCCCACCAGCAAGGAATGAGAATTCTTTTTGATGAGAATCCTTATCTCCTTGTCAGCGTTTAGTATTGTCAAGGTTTTGGATTTCAGCCATTCTAATAGGTATCAAGTGTTATCTCGTTGTTTTCATCTGCAATTCTCTAATAACAAATAATGTTGAGCATCTTTTTATATGCTTACTTGCCATCTGTGTATTCTTTGATGAGGTGTTTGCTCAAATATTTTAGTGATTTTTTATTTGAGTTGTTTATTTTCTTGCTGAATGTTAAGAGTTTTTTTTGGGGGGGGGGGCTGGCCCCGTGGCTTAGTGGTTAAGTGCTCGCGCTCCGCTGCTGGTGGCCCGGGTTCGGATCCAGGGCGCGCACCGACGCACCGCTTCTCGGGCCATGCTGAGGCTGCGTCCCACATACAGTAACTAGAAGGATGTGCAGCTATGACATACAACTATATACTGGGGCTTTAAGGGGAAAAAAATAAATAAATAAAATCTTTAAAAAAAAAAAAAAAGAGTTTTTTGTATATTTTGGAAACAAGTCCTTTATCAGATATGCATTTTGCAGATATTTTCTTCTAATCTGTGGCTTGTCTTTTCATTCTCTTAACAGTATCTTTTGCAAAGCAGAAGTATATTAATTTTAATATAGCCTAATATCAAACTATTTTTCTTTTATGGACCATGCTTTTGGTGTTGTATCTAAAAGCTCCTTGCCAAACCCAAAGTCATATACATTTGCTCCTATGATTTCTTCTAGAAGTTTTATATTTAGGTCTGTCATCCATTTTGTGTTAATTTTTGTGAAAGGGGCATAGATATGTCTAGATTCCTTTTTGCTGTTGTTGTTGGAAAACTATCCCTTCCTTTCTCTGTTGAATTGCCTTTGTTCCTTTGTCAAAGATCAGTTGACTGTGGTTTTTTTTTTTTTTTGGCTCTCTGTTTTTGGACTCTCTGTTCTAGTCCATTGATCTATGTGTTTAGTCTTCAAAAAAAAATCATGCTGTCTTGATTACTGTAGCTTTATAGTAAGTCCTGTGTCAGACATTCTGAGTCCTACAACTTTGTTCTTCTATTTCAATATTGTGTTGGCTACTATGGGTCTTTTGGCTTTCGGTATAAACCTTAAAACCAGTTTGCTGATGTCCACAAATAGCTTGCTGGGATTTTTATTGGGATTGCATTGATTCTATAGATCAGGTTGGGAAGAATTGACATCTTAAAAATATTGAGTCTTCTAACTCATGAACGTGGAATAGCTCACCATTTCTTTTGATCATCTGTGATTTCTTTATTCAGAATTTTGTAGTTTTCCACATATAAATCTTTACTTGTTTTGTTAGATTTATACCAAACTATTCCCTTTTTAGTCTGCTATTGTAAATGGTATTGTGATTTAAACTTCAAATTCCGATTTTTCATGGCTGATATATAGGAAAGCAATTGACTTTTATATATTAACCTTGTCTCCTGTGACCTTGCTAGAATTACTTATTAGTTCCACGAGACTTTTGTCGATTCTTTGGGATTTTCTACATAGGCAAAGAACAAAGACAGTTTTATTTCTTCCTTTCTAATCTGTATGCCTTTTATTTCATATTTTTGCCTTATTGCACTAGCTGGGACTTCAAGTACAGTGTTGACTAGGAGCAGGGAGAGGAGTAGGATTACCTTGTTCCCAATCTTAGAGGGAAAACATCCAGTTTCTCACAATTCCCTCCTTTTTCACTACCTTGCACTCTGACTTTTCAGTTTCTTTGTTTCTTTCATCCTAATTTTCCATCTCATCTCAGGCCTGTCATGATAGAAGAGACAGTGGGAATCAGAGAAACTTCCATTTAAATCATGATTTGGATCTTGGTCAAGTTAATTTAACTCCTTTGCATTTTAATTTTCTCATTCTAAATTAGGAAAATATTGCCTATACCAGTGGAGTATTGTGATGATTACTTGGGAAAACGTTTGGAAAAAAACCTCTTTATTCATTTAACACATAAGTACCTAACTTTGGTTTAAGCCTTATGCTAAATGTTTGGAATACGACTGTGAACAAGACGTAGATTTAGCTCTAAGAAACTGTAGTGGAAAAAAAGTCAAAGGCACAGCGCATATTAGTAAATAATCATAAGTGCTATGAGAGCTGTAAGTGCACATAGTAGATTTTTAATAATTAGAAGTTAGCATCTTTATTATTATTCATTTTTCAAGTTTATTCACTCATCCTGAATTGTCAAAAAGAGCTAATGACTTTCTCTATCTCTTTTCCTGCATATCTTCTTTGTTTCCATCACACAAAATCAAATTTCCATTTGATAATGTCTCTAGTTTCTGCATCGTTCTCACTTCTTTCTCCTCTGTTCACATATATATCTCAGAGATTTCTACACCTGAGATATATAATAGCCACATTTTTGTTTGTTAACATGTATGTTTTAGTTCCCATATAGTTTATACAGTGTAGAAGATATAGAATATTTCAAATATAATATAATATTCCAGAGGGCAGGGGTGATAATAATTATATTTTAATATAAGACACATTAAACATTTATAACAAGCTTTTTTCGTAACATTAATACTGATTATTTATGGACTATTTAAGACATTAAATTGTTTGAGACATTTAGCATGTCTTTATATAGTCTAGTATTATTTTGGGCTCCATCCTTTATATTTTGTAAGGAATAGAAAGATTAAAGAAAGGCTTTTTATACATGTGAGTGTATAGGAGCGCTCATCTAGATTTTGTGTTTTAAAAAATAAAATAACTGATGATACCGTGGTTTCCCAAGGGATGGGGCTTTGTTACTAGGCAACGCCTTATGATATTCAAGATGTGTTAACTAAATAGGACTTCAGATCCGCTGCCAGATATTCTCTGATTGATGAGGGGAGCAGCTGAAACAATTCATTAACATTGCCTTTCTTTTATTTTCGGGGCAGGAGAGAAAACCAGATGTGGAGAGGTGGAAGAGGATAGAAAGCATAGCTGACACAGACACACAAACAATTGGGGAGAGTATTAGCAAGGTGCTATACTGAGAACAGTTATTTGCCTTTTATGCTTCCCGCTGCCTGCAGTGACCAGTTTAAAATTTTGATTTTAAAACACGAAGTAATTTGTCTTGTCCATCTCTCCTACCTTTCTTAAAAGTAAGCAAATGAAGCAATAGCGTATAGAGGTGCTGGCTGGGGTTTGCCTGTGCATGTATGTGTGCCCGTGTGTTTAATAAACATTAAAATAAGTGCTGCTTCTGAGATTTTCAGCAGTTTCTGCTGACTCTTTAGTCTCTCCAAACTCCTCTCTGCATCAGCAATTTTGTATTTGATTTGGAGTGTCTTCTCAATATTCTCCACCAAAGATTGGAAGGCAGTCCTGTAGAGAATGAGTAAGGCATTGCATAAACCTCTGATAACCCTGGCGTGCTTGCTGTCTCTTCAAAGAAAACAGTGTTTCAGCACGTACTTGGCTGCTTAATAGAATTTACTCACCAGTTGCCCTCATAGCTAATGATTGCTATGCAAGATGTTCTAGAAAATTTAGGTGATGCCATTTGCTAATTAAAATGCATTTGCTTTGACAGATTGAAAACTTTATTTTGAGACAGTTGATGTGGGCTGTCTGAGCTGACTGCACCACTGGTTTTGATACTATATTAAGGAATCGAGTATTTATTACTTACAGAAAAGAAGTTAAGAAAATAGCTCTGCCATCCAAGAGCTTTAGTTTAGTTCGATAGGCACTCTTGTGACAGTAGTTCCCTGTCTGTTTTATAAGAATAAAGATATCCATTTAATTGACCAATTCCTGAGTCTGAGTCTTCCAGTATTTCTCCTACTTTGTGATGTAAATATTGGAAAATGAGGCGGATAAATATTAATTAGATATTTAAGTCACTATGAAGTAAGAATTCCTGTCTAGAATAACAGATTGTGTGTGTGTGTATATGTTAATATTTATTAAGTTTCTACTATATGCCAAAGTCCTTCACAAATATTAATCCTCAAAACTAAGCTGTTGCTATGTATTACTTATCACTATTTTACAAATTTGGAAACAGAGACTCACAGGACTTAAGTAATTTGCCAGACATATTAAGTTGTGGATGTTTGAGTCATGGATAAATTCTCTGACTTCAGTTCCAATATTGTTTGCAATGTACAACTTCCCTTTAATTAATCCTTTAATGAAAAATAGCCAAAGATTAATTAAGCAGATTGCTCTTGTCCTGTTCAGTAGAAGGACATTTCCAAAAGTATTTAATTTAGTTTAAATTAGATTTTGTGTGTGTATAATGCGTGTGTTCACCTTCCTTTTTGCTTTCGTGCATGCAGGTATGTTTATATTCATGATTTTGCAATGTAAATGCCAAGCTCAAGCTTCTGCGCAAGCTTCTCGTGCCTTCACCAATGGGAGTGAAGTGACAGTCCGCTTATGAATGAAGAGAGTTCATGGGATCATTCAACATGAATAGCATATTTTATATTTCAAGTTGATTTGCAAAAATTGTAATACATCTACAAATTTGTATAAATATAATTTTAATGTTGGTTTGAAAACATGATTAGATGATAGGTTATAAGAGTAAAAGTTATAAGTAGTTTTAAAATAGATCAAATTTCTTAGCACATGATAAAAAAAGTAAATTTTTATTATTAAATGCCACTCAGCACTCAGTTTTTTTTTTTACTATATACCAATCTCTAACCAATAGGCTTAGTTTTTAATTCAAAATAAATAATGGTTAATAAATCTCAATTTCTGGTATGGTGATCTTGTTCTTTAAACATTATTTTGTTTTTATTTATAAAATATAAATACTTGGCTAAGTGAAGGTAGCTTATAACTTTGCCAAAATTTTCAGTTTTTCCACTATCTTAAAATATTTCGGAAGAGCCACCGGAAGCATGTTTTTCAAATTTTCTCTTGATTCTTTTTAAAAGATGTTATCTGTTTCACACTGTCCCTCAAAGCCAGGGAGGGAGGGAGGAATTCATCTATAAAGAAGAGAGCAGTATTTAGATTTAGAAATGGATAACATAGCCAACTGAATTGGGTATTTGTGGAGATTCAGGGGCAAATACCAGATAAATATCTATCACAGGTACAAGGGGAGAAGGGTGGTGTCTCAAGTCTTTACGGCTAGGGAGAGGTTCAAGAAGATGAGGTGATAAATAAATCGAGAAGGTTATAACTAAAAGCTTTCAACTCTCCAGCGTGACTCCAGAATATGCGTCATGTAGAGAAAATTGCCGTAAAACAGAGTAACATTGATTTTTTATTGAAAATTAAAGCATTTGTCCAAATGTGGCTCTTTGTTATTTTTAAGTTTCATTCTCCAGTGATTGAATTATTGTCTCCATTGTGGAAGGAAAAAGAGAACTGATGGTGAAAAATTGATAACTTTGTTATCATTATTAGTTAGGTGTAAAATCCATTCCTTTTTTAAACAAGCAATCATCTTGAACCTGGTTTATTCGGAGTTTCAATCCCAGACATACACATGAATCATTTATGTGCTGGGACATGGCAGCCTCCCAGCTCAGCTCTCAAATCTCCACAAGCAATGTGACTTGGTAGTGATGGAGATAAGACCTTGGTTGAAAAAGATACTATTTACCACTGACACAACCAAAAACTTGTCATTTCTTAGACAACAAAACATAATGTGAACATGAGAAGAGATTTCAAAGTTAAGATTCCAAAATATGTACAAAAAATCATTGAAAGAACTTAATTTTTGAGAGTTTAGCACTTTAATAACACTACAGTCCCTCTTATCTTGATAAATAAATTAACCTTTGATTTAAAAACTACCAAATACTCCATTTATTGCAAGACTTGGAGCCTCTCTGCTGTCACAAAATATTTCTTTTATAAGAGCGAAAATAAAATGCAGAGAAAGAAAATGGTGTGTAAGTGCAGTGCTAGGAAATGCTAACTACTTTAAACCCCTGTCTTTCAGGAAAGAGCGGTGACGATTCGAAGACAAACTGTAGGAGGATTTGGATTAAGCATCAAGGTAGCCTGTCCTTCCAGTCTATCCTTACAAAGGCCATGCTGTAATGCCTGCATTTCTGTGTGTTTCGATTTTGTGCTGATTAATAATCAGACAAATATGGCTATAGCAAACTCTTCACTATTTGGAGTGAGATGTAAATTAGGTAGGTTCTCACAAAACCTTGCCCACCTTTTGCTTAGAAATTTTAGAAAAGTATTTAAGAATTTTACTTTACTTGGCATTGAATATACTCATTAACCCTCTCTACCTGGTTTCATCTAAGATACCAACCATGGTGCTGTAGTGTGCATGTCTCCCTCTCGCCAGGCAGAGCAGGGACACTGAGCTGTCAGTGAACAGAGCAAGAACAAGTTTTATACTGACAAGGCCCGATAGTGAGTGAAGTAGTAGTTGATTCTAGTCATCTTTTTCTTTTGTTTAGCTTTTATTTTTATTTAAAAAAATTAGTAAAATCTCACATTACAATGCCAAGTGTGTAGGATAGACTTCAAGTTTTAACATCTAATTTGTTGAAGAAAGACCATATCTATTCATTTCCATTTATTATTACATTTTAAAAGGCTTTTCTTTCTGTATGTTGTTGACTATTAAAAATGTACCACACCTGTAATTTATCCTCATTGAAACAAAACACATTTTAAAAGGACGGAAAGTTATATAAATATTAGAAAAGTTAACTTAATGACTATAAATGCCCATTAGAAACCTACATCTCTGCATAGATAAACAAAATTTAACTTTATCTTGATTGTTGGGTTATGAATTTTGCTTATGAGGGTGCAAATCATAAATCTCAGATATATATTTCATGAAATTCTAACACAGCTCAAGTTATGTATGCTTGGAAAGTGAAACTTCAAATTTGTTGAATATCAGCTCTAGTTGACATTATGAAAATGACTCAGAAAACTGATCATGTGGCATAGCATTGTGTTGTCAAGAGATAAGAATATTACTATACAAAATGTTAGTTTTAAGATACATTTTTTTTCTTTCACTTTATCTGACATCAACTAAGACCAGGGAGGTACGCAGAACAAATTAGGATGTGGAAATGATGCCGCGGGAATTCCATCCTTCAATAGACAAGTTTTTTTGTTTTTGTTTTAGTTTTTCGCCATGATATTTATTGCAATAGCCATGAAGGATTTAAAGGTACCACTAAAGAGAGTAAAAAGTTCATGAAGAGAGAACAAACCCCAGTGTGAACAACGTCCAGTAGTGAGAGTCGATTTCATGTGAGATCGGCATTCTCACCTACCCTCCACTGCGTATTTTCCCTAGTGGACCTATATTCAAGTTGTGCAGGCTGGAAATGTTCTTTTCTGTTTTTCTTTCTATTTCCATTTATAATTTGAACCCAATAATACAGAATTATTTGTCTTAATAAAATATCATATTTTAACCTAGGCAGTTTTTAAAATATTGAGAATTTTGCCCAATGAATCGTTTCAGTTTAATATTTTCACTATTTCAATCCAGACAAAACTCTTACACATAACAAATGGAATAATTTTCTAAATCAAATAAGTGTGTATTTTCCATTCAAAATATATTGCTGACAAAAGTAATATTTGAACTGTGATTGGTGCCATATATTAGGAGGTTTGACAAAAAAGAAATTCTTTTATAATTCTTATGGCATACAAACTAACCAGAAATACAAACATCAATATTTTGTTTAGAATATTGCCCATTCATCCTGAAGAGTTTCCTTTTAAGGTTTTGCATTTTGGTTTCCTCAGTACATACATCTGATTTTTGCTTTTGTATTTTTTAAACTAGCTTTCGTTCTGTTCATGTATTTCAGAATATGATTATTTATTTATTTATTTATTTTAAATAGCAATGTTATTATAAAAATCCTTTTTCCCCTTGCCTTCTCATATGTGAATTAGATAAACTACTGTGTTTGTGTATTTGCACTATTTTCTTTAGAGCTGAGAATTAAATATATATATATAATGAACAGTTTAAGAAATTATTCTAGTCTAAATGCAGAATTAATATTTTAATGTTGACCATTTACTTATTTGTTTTTTTATGTTTATTAATGGAGCAATGTGAGCCAATAATATAACTATTCACAGAAACATATAAACATATTTTATCCTTATTTGCTTCAGTTAAGTAATCACCACTGGCACGCACCAGAGGATTCGTAGTAAAAATTATTGATGAAAACCTTGAATATCTTGATTGGAGATAACAGAAGGAAGAGTGTATGTTAGACAATTAAAAAAGGATTAACCAGTACGGTTAAGACACTACAGGCACTCTCGAATTTCACTGCACTCAGAACACATGGTTCTTATTTCAGCACCAAATTTTACCTTCCCCCGAATATTTTTTAAACTTGGCTGAAGGGAACAGAATCTCCTTTTTCATGAGACAACACTAAAATACTCTGACGTGCTGTTAGGAGTCAGAGTCTGTTGGCCGTGCTTCATGCTCCTGACAAACCTGGGCTCCGGGACCTAGCTGCCACTGTCACCAGTGCGCAGGGCGGGGATTGCTCAGGTCTCCCGCGTGGCGGTCAGCGCTGCGGAAGTCGGGAGGCAGCAGCACAGAGAGGCGTCTTACACAGCATCTGTTCTAGTGCTTTATTTGTTACCGCCCCAATGGCTACGGATCGTGGGAAGCCTGATGTCCCTGAAGCTGCCTAATCCTCTATGTCGCCTGTCCATGTCACAGCACTGTTCTCACTCCCACAGGCTCTCTCCTGGCAGAGGTGCGCGGGCAGCCTGGTGGAATAACAGCCAGCCTTTTATGTGCTTGTATTTTCTCTCCCTTATTAATGAGACACGTTGAAACTTCCGAGGCAAAAACGTGCAAGAGCCTCAGAGACTGAGGCAGCTGTATGTCTCTACAGTTTACTTCTGTGTCTCTATTCGACATCTTCCTGGGAAGGCCACATGCCAGATATGATGCAGTGCACATTGAGAAGGGCTCTCTCTCAAAAATTCCTAAAATCCCAAAGAAAAAGAGAAAAATTAATTCAATAAAAATTTGAAAGAAATGTTTTACCAGATTTAAATTATGATAAGTATAATTTAAGTAAGTTTTAATTCATTTTCTTTTCAGATTTTGTCTAATCCCCTTCCTAGTATTCCTTTGCTTTTTTCACCTTAAGAAAATTTTTGATTTGCATTATTAGGACTTTCTTACAAAATCTGAGACTTTCCTTTTAAAGGCATAATTATTATTTTTAAAATCATGTCCGAAGATCCCAAACCTTCAATTTGGAGCACAGTCGTCCAAAAAGAGTTTTTCATCAATTACATTGAGAATTAGTGTAGGAATCACATTAGACAAACTTATTCTTTAGATTCCTAAAATCCCATCATGTTAAAACACTTTTACCATGAAAAGGTAGAGACCAAAATTACTTAGATATCCCTGTTAATTCTAAATAAGTATAAAAACAAAACACAGAACCAAGGAGCTGAGCACACAGCGGACGCGCTGACGCTGCGCGTGGTGAAGCGGCCTCCTGACCAAGGAGGTGCCGCACTCCGACTTCTCGCTCCCACCTTCTGGGTTAGATGAACTATTTGTCTTCCGCTCCTAAAAATGAAAGAAATTCCTTCTAACCCCTGGGGAGTGTGCCATCCCTGGACACAGCTTGTTTCTCTGCTTTCCTGCGTTGTGCTATAGTTCTTTCACCGCAGTTAGCAAATCTAGTAGGATTAAATGCGTCATCCATTCAATTGCGCCTGAACCGGGCGCAATGGGATGAAATTTGGCGGCGGGACATGCACATATTTCTACCTGGCCCAGCCCTATGCTGTGTTTAAACGACCTTTCATGTGCCAGCCCCTGCTCCAGAACCTCGGAGGAGGGAGAAACGGCGTGCCGAGCTCCCTCCTCAGAAACTGAGCTCTGAACCACTTCTCGGGCTCCTCGCACTGTGCTCACTCCTGCTCTGTCTTCGACAAAGCCTTTCTCATTGCAGTCATTTTTACTCTTGTGTTGCTTAGTAGACCCATTCTCATATCTGCTTTAACCTTGGGTCTTTTTTAACAATTCTTTAGGATTCTTCCTGCTTGTTATAGTTCCTTTGTCTTTATTGATTGTAACATCTCTCAGAAGTCTCAAACTTGTGGGGTTTTTTTCCCGGTATTAGTTTTTGTTTTTGTGTCCCCCTTGGTAAAATGTCAAGCTCTTCTGTTTATATTTTTCAAATTCCAAAAAGTCATTCTCCAAAAACTGGACAAACAGAATCACTAAACTTTCCACTTGTAATCACATATTCTCTAATCTTAGACTGAAACTGCTTCCCTTGAAGCTCTCAGGCGCGTCAGGCGAGCTGTATGTTTTCAGGGTCCCTGTAGGACTTCCCTATCGGTGTCCATAGTGCATGCGGGTCTGGTTCTCTCTAGTTGGCACCACCATTCCTATTGGCATTTTCTGGATCTAGCTCTCAGCTCTGCTGCTTCTGCCTCCTTTCCTTCCTTTCCCTCACAACTCTCCCGCCCTCTGGCCCTTCTGGTAGACTCTCTCTCAAGTGCTCATTTCTCTTGTCTGGACCATCCTAGTACTTACCATTTCTAAAAATAACTTAAGGGTCTCCACAACTACATCCCCAATAATCTCCAAAGTTTTGCATTGTAGAATCCAACATTCTTGTATTTTTGTCTCATTCTTCTTATAGAAATTATCATAAGGATAATCACCTTAAAGCAAAGCACCATCTTGACCTTGCGAGACTTAATCTTTATCTTCCATATCTTTCAAAATACAGTACCATACACTTGCATAGTATTAAATCATGCCTCTAGTCATTGTCATTTAAAAAATCACCTTTTAGAGAAAGGATTTTTTAATATTGTTACTAGAAAAATATTTTATGGAGTATTTTCCAACAGGTACAGCTTTTCTTATATAAACAATAAGTTACCCATGTCCTTTAAGGAAATATTTCTGATCAAAGTGATTTCTATATGGAAGCTTTAACTTTGTAGCAATCAAAAATGATGTTAGAATTATTCTTACCATTAAAATCTTATCATTGTAAACAATTATTGCTAATATTTATTATCTGCTCTTTAAGTGCTAGATTCTCAGCTTAGCACTTTATATTCTGTTTCATTTGGTCTTTTCTATCCAGCAAAGTAGGTAGCCATTGTTATCCCTCCACAGACAGTGAGGCAGTGAGGTTAAGTATGAAGAGGTTAAGTAACTTACCTATTGTTGTAAGTGGCAGAGCTGGGTCTCAACCCCACATACAGCTGATGACAAAATCCTTACTCTTAATAACTATGCTCTATAACTATAAAACAGACTAAATTATCTCTAAACTCTTTAGTTGGGAACACAAATAATGTTTCCTCTCTAAATTATTCACATTCTGGTTTATTTAAACCTGAAATAAATGGATCAAAATGTCCAGGATCAAGCAAGCAGTTTCTTTATATCAAGGGCTGGGTATTAATTGTATCAGATTTATTAAATAAAAGTATATGTCTTATAGTAGCTGTAATAAATTTCTGCTTTTTAATTTGTTAGTGATTTCAGGGCAAAAGTCTTTAAATATCATGTAACATATTAAATATGTTGATATAAGTACATACACACATTTGCATGCATTTCTTATTCTGTCTCCTGGTTCTTTTTTTTGAGTCTGATTCACTTATTTTCACCACATACAACATGGATACATGCTTTTCCACTATAGAGAGGGGCGCATACCAGGCAGGTAATAAAGCTGAGTTGGAAGATTACGGATTAGTCCCAAGAATCAGTTAAAATCACTGACCAATTATCATTTGAAAGACCATTTTTTTTTTATTAAATAGCTTATTGAGATATAATTCACATATCATGCAATTTACCCATTTTAAGTGTACAATTCAATGATTTTTTATTATATTCACAGATGTGGGCAACCATCCCTACAGTCAATTTTAGAACATTTTCATCAACTCAAGAAAAAACCCATATCCTTTACCTATCACCCCTTTATCTCCCTGTCTTCCTGCCTCAGCTCTAAACAACCCCTAGTCTTCTCTCTGTTTCATAGATTTCCCTATTTTGGACTTTCATGTGAAGGCAAATATATAGTGTGTGGGAAAGACTTAATTTTTGCCAAAACCAAACGAAGTGATTTTGGCTGCTAAGTGTGGGCCTCAAATAGATAAGGATAGTCGCCCCTATTCTTTCAGGATATCTTACTTTGGCTGTCTCTCCCATACCTGTTCGCTGGGCTTTTAATCTTCATCACTGTTTTGTTATCTGCTGTTTACAGGTATTTTCCTCAAGCTAAGTGGATATATATTGGTGGAGTCTATGCGTCTCTTTTTTTCCAGAGCCCCAAATATGATTGATTGATTGGAATAATAAAAATGATGAATTAAAAAGACTTATTTGGCAAGATTCCCAGTGCTCTAAAAATATGGGTTTGATACCCCCCCCCATCGTTGGTAAAAAATGTACCATTCTGGTGAATGATGTTGATAATGGGGAAGGATATGCATGTGTGCAGGGGTATATGAGAAATCTCTGTACCTTCATCTCAATTTTGTTATAAACCTAAAACTGCTCTAAAAAAAGTTTTTAAAAAATGTACATCTAAGATTGTGTGTTTTATTCTATGTTAATTATACCACAATAAAATATGTATTTAAAAGTGCTAAAAAAAAAAAATATGGGTTTGATTTGGTGGAATTTCACAGTTATGTAGAGTCCTACTCAACATGCTTTAGATGGGCCTTTATATCCTGTTCCTACAAAGCTAGCTATGAAAAATTAATTATGCTTTGTAAAAAGACTATAACAAAATTGAATGGTATATGTTTTAGTATTTTGGGGGATGCACTTTTGAATGTCACCTCACTTTCCCTAATCTCGATTTTTCACCAGAACAACAGAGCTCAGTTAATTCATTTATTCTCCAAACGGTGATTCTGAGCCACGCACCCTGGCCTACAGATAGTTTGGGGAGAAGATGATAAAGGAAACCCTGCCCTGGCCTCAGGCCCTTTATACTCCAGCAAGAAAATAGATATTGATCACCTTGTGGTGTGACTAAATGTAAATCACAGGCCTGATCCAGTGCTGCAGAGGTGAATTCCTTCAATTATGGAGGTGCTGATGAAGGGCCCTTGTGCTGAGATCCTGAATATGAGTAGAGTTGACCAGGCTAAGAGTAAAGGGAAAGAGCATTCCAGGCAGAGGGGACAGTATAAGTGGACATCCTTTAGTGCCCAAACGATGAAGGTACAGGGTGAAACTACAGAGGGGGCTGAGGCACAGGACAGGGGCTATGAAGGATTTTGGTTTTTATTCTAAGTGTAACAAGAAGCCTATCACCTGTTTTAAACAGTGAATCACATTATTTGATTCCTGCCTGCAAAACCTTGAATTTTCCCATTTAGGTCCGGAATTAAATCTAATTATCTTTAATAGAGCTAGACTGATCTCACATTTCATCCAATAAATGAAAGTCCTGTGATTTTAAGTTCCAATTTTATCTCCTGAGTTTTGTCTTAAAATTTACTGTCTAATTAAGTCATTTTCTGAAATTGGTTTAAAAATTCACTCAGAGCTCCAAACGTCTGATTAAAAAACTCTAGAAATCAAATAACCATCTTTGTACTAAACCATTCAAATTTTAGGAGAAATTTCACATATACAAGAAAAATGTTGACAAAATAGAGGTTAGTTATATCTTGTCATTAAAAGATAGTTGTAAGTCTCAGTGTTGAGGCAAGAATGGGATTACTGAGTTTATCCTCCGAAAATTGCTATCTCAACAGCCTTTCTCTAGACAGATCGCAGGGAGAGCTTTCCCACTGTCCTCCATGGTAACTTGCATTAAAATCTGAGCACTAAGAAAGGCTTTGGATTCAGTAGTGCAAGGAGAGAAAACTGTGAAGAGCAAAATAGCTGAAGGAGAACACACTGACAGCCTCACAGATAAGAGTCACATAAACAATGTGTTCTCTGCCGGAAAGTAGCTGAACCACAATGTCTGGAGGATTTTGTTTCCTCTTTTTATGCTATCTAAGCTTCATCAGCGCATGATTCATTTTAGTTAACCAGTTTTTACTTCTGAGAAATTGAGATGCATTCTTAAAATTCTTTCCAATTTGCAGGTATCTCTAGAAACTGTCATGACCATGGGCATTTGAGTTCATTGTACACCTCATTAGCTTCTACTTAAAATCATTCTGCAATGTATTTTAAGGAATAAAATAATTTTAAACATGTAAAAGCCTTAGACTTCATTTATTTATTTACTCATTCATTCAACAAACATTTCAAAGATAAAAAAGAAAGACATTATTCTGTGCACTGGGGTTACATCAATGTACAAAACAAATTGCCAAAAACATTCAATAGCCTCGTGGAACTTACATTCTACTAGGATGGAGGAGGAAGAAAGAAAACAAATAATAAATCTAAAAGTGAATAAAGATAATAGCAGGTTAGAAGCTGATAAGTATAATGGGGAAAGGATAGAACAGATTATGGGAGATGGAAATGTGGAATCCCAGCTAGTAAATATTAAGTATCTTAGAATGGATTTGTCTTAATTGACCACTTTCCTGCTCTGTAATTTTGCTCGTAAATCTTAATCGGTAGACTGCCTTAGGATAATGGTGACCTTTTACCCAGTGTTTACTGTGTGCTAAGTAAGCACTCATCTCCACCGCTGTCAGTCACAGATCACTATCCTTTGATCAGGATCAGGGCTCGTTAGGAACACTCTAGGAACACTCAGACGAAAATGCAAAGCAGAATTAGGAGCCAATGTAGCTCCTCTAGGACTCTTCTCCGGGTTAGTGAGGGTGGTGGGGGGAAATGAGGAGACTAGGGAATGGAGGGAGTGTTTAAACTGTAACCTGAGGAAGACAGTTTTCAATATTGTATTTATCATATTTCTTCTTAATATTCCAGAAGTAGAAAGGACTACTCGCCAAGAAACGGTTAAATAGCACTACTTTTCTCACAGTAGCTATTCCCTGTCTTATATTTAAGTTTATTGACAATTCAGGGTTAAAAATGGACATTCATGGGAAAATGTCCTAAAATAATTTTTGTCCTTGAAAAAAGAAAGGCTTAGGAAGTTTACTTATTTTGAAGATAGAGAAACCTCAGTGAAATTTAGATCATCTTTTCAACAATCCTATGTTAAAAGTGCTATCAATCTTTTTTAAGTGACATTTTATGTACTTATTTGATTTCTTTAAGGAAGAAATTAATTGAAGATTTGATTATCTTTAATGCACTTTTTTGATTTTTTGCCTATTGCTTTCAACCTTCTCAACTCTAATATAGAAATAGAATGTTTATGCAGTTATTTCAGGGATTTATTTTATTTCCTTCTATATAAGTTTAGCTTACTTATTTTTCTTTCTTTTTTCATGTGCGTTTGGTCAATTAGATAACGTGTTACTGCAATATTCTTCCAGTTTATTTTACTCTGTTAATTGTTTAGTATGTGCTTTCACAGGAAGAGGAATCTCATATAATTAAGGAAATGCAGATGACCCCTCCCCCATCGAGCATATGCACACTCTGATTGTTTGTATCCATTTGTGCAGGTAAAGATCTCTCTAGTCACTTAGCATCCAAAGAGGTCTGTGCTTGGTCACCAGCACAGAACAGCTTAGCCAGATAATAAAAATGCGTAATTATTGGGTATTTGGAATCCTAAATAAGAATTTCTACAATGGACAGCACTGCTACACATTGAAGATACTGCTTATTTATGGCATTAAAAATCTTTATTTGAAAAATGAAAACTTTCCAAGTCAACCGTTATTAGTTATTAAATGAAATTGTAAACAGGTAGATAAGTTTCTTGGGAGCATTATCTACTTGGTAAAGAATCTCCACAAGTTTATTTAAATTCTACCTGGTGTCCATTAACATACTACTCATAACCTGTATAGTTTCCCAGCTAAAAGCTACATTTTTATTTTTTAAGATTAAAAAGCACAATATATAATTTTCTCTTTTCAGGGGGGAGCAGAACATAACATTCCAGTCGTCATTTCAAAAATCTCCAAGGAACAAAGAGGTAAAGTGTTAAGAGAGTTATATATGAGCCATTCCTTTGTAAGTCATTGTTATTGGAGAATAAGGTGATATTTAAGAATCATAAATTAGTATGTGATTGACTAGCTCTGGGTTCCCCATAACCAGGCAGTATGTGGTTGAGTTTAATTCCTGCATCGAGGCCCTTTATTACTCCAGAGTAGGGCTTCTCTCACAGGAGAGCAAGGATGAACAATAACAGAGTATGAGACTTGTATAAATTAGGGACTGCATAAATTTTCAACTGTTTCATTGAACAAACAAATGTACAAACAAATCTAACAAGTCACATCAAATATAGGCAATTCCAGATATATATATTTTTCAGTTCTCAAATGCAATTTAACTCAGCCTTTCATATGAAATTTCATCTGGGAAAAACACTGAAGATTTTGTAAAGTAACTGTTTCAATGACTGAAATCAGTTAGACAGTCTAATGTTTGAAAAGAAACTTGGAGATGATGCCATAGCTGATGGATGGAAGGTCCAAAGCTAAACTTTTTCATAGATACCTTAAAATTATAAGGACATGAGAAAATTTAGTCATCCATCCAGAAGAGTGACCAATTTTTGGCAACTGTAAGATTAGAAATCACAGAATTAAGAAGAAATATTTCAGCATGTGTTTCAGTATTTAGGCTGAATCATGATATTGTTTTTACACTTCTCTTCCTGTGGATCTTTTAAGATGCTATCGGTATGAAATCTTTAATTTTTTTCCTTTTGTCAGTTTTGACTTTATTAGTTAAAAAAAACTTTGTATGAAGAAAATAGTCAATGCATAATCAGTTGTCTTCTCCATTCACAGCAGAACTTTCTGGACTGCTCTTCATCGGGGATGCAATTCTCCAGGTATACGTTTTACCATTATTTTCTATGTGCAACCAAAACATAGAGTCAATTCACAATATACCGCACGAAACTATGCTTTTCTTTTTATTGCAGATAAATGGAATTAATGTGAGAAAATGCAGACATGAAGAAGTGGTGAGTTTTCTTTAACTTTTTCCTAATATCATCATTTTCCCCATGTGCAAATGAGGATTTATTGCACTGCTAAAAACTGTTCATTTTGTTCATTAGGAAGATACGACATTGGTCCAGCGTGCTATCAGATTTTCAAATGATCTCTTAATTGATATTTTTTCTCCTACTAGAAATGGATCAGTCGTTTGCTATGTTTTTCCATTAATCCTTGCCTGTCAATGTTCCCTAAGTGTATCTTTAGATGAAATACATCTCTAAATTTCTTCAAATGTTTATAAGTTTATAAACAATAAACTTTATGTCTGTAAAATCTCATACAGTAGCAGGGGCAAACGGAAGACCATATGAAGACGGTGTGTGTGTGTGTGTGTGAGTGTGTGTGGGTGTGAGTGTGTGAGTGTGTGTGTGTGTGAGTGTGTGTGTGTGTGGGTGTGTGTGAGTGTGTGTGGGTGTGTGTGTGAGTGTGTGTGAGTGTGTGTGTGTGTGTGTTTGTGGAGAGAGAGAGAAAGGGAATTCGGAAGAGCATAACCTCAAGGCAAATGGGTTTAGAATTACGCAGAACGGTCATCAGTGTTTACTGTGGCATTTTCCTGGGTGTTGATAAATGTGCGTATGTGAAGCCCTGGCATCAGATATTCTAATTCAGTCAGTTTAGATGGGTCCAGGAATTGAAATTTTAACAATCAGCCCAAGTGGTTCCATTGTAAGTGGCCTCTAAACTACACTTTAGGAGAATCTGTGGAGATGGGAAGATGTCATAAGAAAGGAGCAGGACAGTATTAGGTGTTTAGGGAAATGTTTGTCATAGTTGATTTAATAACATTCAGAAAACCGTCACTGAATTTCTGTGTCAGCTCACACGGGAAGGGATAGAGGAGAAATTATGTTTAAAAGTTTATACTTGAGTCAAACAAAATGAAAAATACTGTAAGCCTTTTGCTTCTCACAGCTCTAGTTTATTTGGTTTTTGAATACATTGCTCCTCTGTTAAAAGCTATTTGGGGGGCCTGCCTGCTGGCATAGTGGTTAAGTTCGCATGATCCTCCTCGGCATCCCAGGGTTTGTGGGTTCAGAACCCCGGGCACAGACCTACACATTGCTCATCAAGCCATGAAGCGGCAGCGTCCCCCATACAAAATAGAGGAAGATGGGCACAGATGTTAGCTTAGGGCCAATCTTCCTCACCAAAAGAAACAAATAAACAAACAAGAAAGCTATTTGAAGAACATTATTCTCATATATTTACATATTTCAAACCTCAAAGAGGCAACCTCAGGTGTCTGTGCAAAGCCACAGTTCCACAGTAGTGATATTAGAGAAGGTTCTTGCTTGTCAGCCCTTGGAATAACTAGCCAAGGTTTGTTAGTATTCATTACTGGTCTTTACCTGCTCAGAAATATTATTTTGGCCACCCTATTGCCACTCTGTGGTGAACATCATGTAAAATATAAGCATTTCAAGTCTCATGTTTACTGCAAATGTGTACAGAGAAAAGTAGTACTTCAGAATAGGTTTTTAGACAAATGAGCAAACATGGAACAGAGAACTCTGTTCTGCAGATTCCTGTGTCAATTTTATAGAGCTGTGTGAGCAAAGATATTTTAACTTTAGTTATTTTTCAAAAGTACAAAATGATTTTTAAACTCATTACACAGGGAGCAAAAACAGAAGCATTCTCTCTTAAAACCACACGCTGTGAGACGACTGTGTTTGCAGTTTGCCCTTCAGAGGCAGGCAGTGTGCTTAGACAAACTGTGATGAAGCTTTTTTTTTTTTTTTTTTTTTTAATTTTATTTATTTATTTTTCCCCTAAA